CTTAATTAATGCCTGTTATTCACATCTGATACTATTTCACTGTTTTCCTTTCCATTATTCTAATATTCTTTGTTTTCATGGTTGTAGAGTTACATTTTCATCTCATACAAATGCATGATGATACTTCTAAGATCTCTAAGAAGATCTCTAATTTTTTCTCCAGCTGATTTTAGTATTACGCATATTTTTGCAATTTGGGCACTTTTTAATTTTTTTTAAATTTTTAGAATGATAAAACTTATAAATACTTACATTTCCTGATAAATAGCTACTATCTAGTATCTGTCAATGTCAGCAATTATAGATTAAGAGGTTGGTTTTTTCTCTATCATTTGATGTTTGTGCCCTTGTCATTAGGATCATACAAAAACCTCACCTAGCTGAAGCTGGAGAGAAAGAACCTAACTTTCTATGTGTATCATTGATTAATCCATCAATAAAACAGCAGAAAAGTAGGTAAATAGATAGATGATAGATAATAGTAACATGAATGCTATGAGCTATTACTTGGATTACTAGAATCTCCATGAAATCTTTCTTGACAAAATGTTCCCAAACCGTATCCTTAATGTCACGATAAGTACACCTTTCTTTAGTGAATTCACTGCAACTGTCTCACTGGTTGATCTAAATGACTGCTCAGCTCCTTTGGTTTCTTTAATAACCTTTCCTTTGGAACAAGGGTGAACTGAACTTGGCTAGTCATTTCTCTTGATGGTCCACCAGGATTATATAATTTACATTGAAAAGATCAACAAATGAACACTCTCAGGATTAAAGTAGGATTAATTTTCAATAACAAGTTAACCCAAATTTAAAATGGCCCAGTTTAATAGACATTTATTTCTTGCTATCTTACTGGTCCTGGCTGGGCCAGTGAAAGGGTATGGTTGTTCATGGACCCAAGCAGGCTGAGATTGTCATTTCTACATCAGGGTCTCATGGTCACCCTTATAATGACTTTGTTTTATAGCAGATGAACGAATGGCAGTGAGATGAACAGAGTGAAACTTGAATAGTGAGTTAGGCAGTGTTAGAACCAACTTACTGTAATGGTTTCCAACGCTAATGGTTAGAAAATTTGTAATCTGTTGTGAGATTCCATTTTTAACCTTAGAAAAGCATTTAGAGGGTTGTCTAATTGGCATACTATTTTCTAAGTTTTTACATCAAAGAATCTTGCATTCTTTCCCATTTATTTTTCTAAATGATATTTCTAGCACCAAGGCACGATTTTAGTAAATGATCTGCTCTCTAAAACAGGCTCCATTTCTTTTTAATAATCTAAAATTGTTGCAAATAACAACAAAATAGATGTACTAAAAAAACATGCCATCATCCTAGCATGAGTATCTCTCCAAGCTATAAAAGAAGTATAATTGATGCAATTTGCTTCTGAAAATTGAGTTAGGGACTGGTTGGCATCCAACTATACAACTTACGGACATTTATTCTTCAGAGAGAATTTAAATTATGTAGCAGATTAAGCAAGGTCCATATAGCTCACATAGCAGTCAGTTTGGTCTTAGGCTTGGTACAAGTGTTCTTCCCTTTTAATTGTTTCTTTATCGTATTGTAATTCCATATTTGAGCCCATGGCTTCTAACCCCTGTATTCTTGGATAAGGATCAAATTATACTTCAGCCCAGATCTCTTCTTCTGAATGCCAGACCTGAATTTCCATTAACCTACTTAGCACATCCCCTTAGATATCTCAAAACCACTTTGGATTCATCATGCCTAAATTGAAGTCATGATCTTTCCCCCAAATCTGGCCCCAGTAAATGGGACCATTATCCGTCAAAATACATAGGCAGAGACTTAGAAAATATGTATTATGTCCCCAACTCTATCACCCATATATATCTCTTAGCAAATCCATTGATTTAACTAAACATTTTTTTCTCTATGTCCTTCTCTCATACTCCAATGCCACTAGGCTTGTCCAGCTGAATATACGGTTATTGCATTCTGCCTCAAGACCAAAATCCTTAGACATGGACTCAGACATCTCAATCTTAGCTCATTCTTTTTGCTTCCACGTTTCTGCCTCACTGACCTTCTTCCAGTTCCTGCAATATACAAGCTCCCTTGATTTTCAGGGGCCTGTGTACACTCTTCCCTGTCAGAAGACTCTCTCTTTGACCGGTTAACACCCCTTTGTCATTCGGCTCTCACGTCACATGTCTCTTCCTTGAGAATTACCTGGCCACATCCCATGCCCCATCTCACAGCAGCCTACAATTCCCTTCCTAGAATTTACATAGCAGAGTTTGTAGCGATGAGGAATAGTATTATCTTGGCTTATTTACCAGCATACATCTACACTATAGCACTACCTACTCTGTGTTTCCAGCCCACAGTAAGTAGTGAATAAGCATCTGTTTTAACAATGAATGCATAAACAGCCTAGCAAATGCACTGCACCTTTGGGCTTGGGTGTACTCTTCTTGGTCTTCTAGCACAGCTCCTGGGAAGCCTCAGTCAAAGGGACAGGAAGACTGCCAATGTGACCCCAGGTACTACTAACTCACAAATAAGCAAAATGTTTAAAATACAATTTTGTAAACATGTCTCTCTTGATCCTCAGTCAGTTCAAACAATTATATTTTTTTCAAATTTTAGAAGTAACACTGGCGGGGCACCTGGGTGGCTCAGTTGGTTAAGCGACTGCCTCCGGCTCAGGTCATGATCCTGGAGTCCCGGGATCAAGTCCCACATCGGGCTCCCTGCTCGGCGGGGAGTCTGCTTCTCCCTCTGACCCTCCCCCCTCTCATGCTCTCTCTATCTCATTCTCTCTCTCAAATAAATAAATAAAATCTTAAAAAAAAAAAAGAAGTAACACTGGCAATCTGGAAGCTTGAGACTAGCCAAAGATTGCGAAGTTCGAAATTGTGGAATTGGCTCTAGAAATCAGACCTTTGACTCTTTCTACAAGGTTATTTCTCAGCTGTTTTCTGTGCTGTTTTCTAAGTGATGAGCTAACAACCCAGAGACCAGTGGTTGACTCCTTATTCTCACTTATGTTTCAGGTGGGCAGCATAGGCTATCTCAACTAGCATATCCCTACCTCCCACCTGCCCTCTCCTCTACTTCCTGCTTCCCTCCTCTATGTGGCATCGCCCCTCAGCAAACTATCCCTACTATTAATATCAGCTCATGCTTATCAATACTTTAAACACTTCTTTCCTGTTTTCGGTAGTTCAGCTAATTCTCATCCCAACCCTCAACAAATTCAGCTGCATATACTCAAGAGACATGAAATCAATTACTTGAAACCATTGTATTTTAGGAGTTACTTCAAGTGCAGTTTCACCTGAGATGAATGGCCAGTCAGCGCCGGTGGGAGCTGTAGGAGACTTTAATATACTCACTCAGGGTGCCATCAGTTTTGGAGAAATTCAGACATAATAGTAATAGCAATTATAATTTATTAAAACCTCTTATGCATAGCTGTATTAGGTACATTAATTGTATCCTTTTTAGTGATCTTACTACTTAAATATTACGTTTTAAAGATGAGGAATTTGAGATATAGAATAGTTAAATGACCAAGATGACCAAATTAGAAAGTCGTTAGACTAGGCGCGCCTGGGTGGCTCAGTTGTTAGGAATCTGCCTTCGGCTCAGGTCATGATCCCAGGGTCCTGGGATCGAGCCCCACATTGGGCTCCCTCCTCGGCAGGAAGCCTGCTTCTCCCTCTCCCACTCCCCCTGCTTGTGTTCCCTCTCTCGCTCTGTCTCTGTCAAATAAATAAATAAAATCTTTCAAAAAAAAAAAAGTTGTTAGACCCAAGATTCGAAGTCTGCTTTTTTCCACACCCCAGTACTTGAAGAAGTATCTAGTGCCAGTGATTAGACAATGCCAGACAAATGCCAGCTATCAGAATTCATTTAAAATATAACAACTGGAACAATAGACAGTAATAGAAAGTGAAGAAAAATGACAAAAATACCGGTATGAGAGAAAAGACCCCAAATGAAGAGGGATTTAAAAAGTAATAGTTTTTACTGTTATTTTTCTTATTTCAGTAATAATACTGGTTTGTTGTGGATAATTTATAAATTACAGATAATTTAAAACACATAAAAATACACAATTCCACAACCCAGAGATAGCAGTACACTGTTCAAAGCTTAGTATACCTTTCCAATTTTCATACACGTACTTCCTGTGCTTTTTGTTTGTAAAAACATGATTAAAATACAGGCACTGATGTCATATACGGTTGTATGGAACATTCACTGCACAACAGTACCCTACCAAGGGAGCAAGTGGGAGCTAAAATCCAGTTTGCAGCTCCCTTGCCAATAGGAGCCCATCATGGGACTACATTCACCCATAGGGAAAGTTGCAGTTTTTAATTAGCCCAAAGACATAGTCTGCTCTCCATACTGAATATGCACAAAGCTGTATTGCCCAGAGGACACATTGTTTTCTTGTTAACACAAAAGATGCTTCTGGACTAGCAGTGACTCTGTGTCTGCTTTCTTTATTTACCAGAGAAAGAATTTTGTATGCCAGCATCCCCTGGTATAACACGCCCTGATAAAAATGAATCTTATGGGGCGCCTGGATGGCTCAGTCGGTTAAGCGTCTGCCTTCGGCTCAGGTCATGATCCCAGGGTCCTGGGATCGAGCCCCGCATTGGGCTCCCTGCTCAGTGGAGAGTCTGCTTTCCCTCTCCCCCTGCTCACGCACTTGTGCGTGCTCTTTCTCTCTCTCTCTCAAATAAATAAATAAAATCTTAAAAAAAAATGAATCTTATTATGGTAGTACATTGTTACAGAAGCTTACCTGATTCAATTATTTCCTGTTTTTATATATTTTTATTAACTTATTTTTTATATTTTTGGTAGCACTCATACAGGGTTTTAAAAAAAGCTTCTCATATTGAGTGAAAAACAACACAGATGTAAGAAAAATTCAGTATCAGTTTCTATTACACCCTCTTATTTATTTTCTAGCATTTTAATATTAATTATTCCTGTCTCCTTAGAGGAAAATTTGACTCCACACTGGACCTACAGGATATCTGGTGTTCAAACATGGTGCTCGTTCTTGAAGGAAAGCCTCAGAGAATACCAGATTCCTGTCTACTAGCCCCTATGAACTGCTGGTCCTCTGGATTTCATCTACTATGCGCTGGTGTTTGCTACTTGGAACTTGAGCTGGTGTAGAAGATTCTGGGGAGATCTTGGCATCTTTAGTATTTTTCAGTTGCTCTGTGATTTTGACCAATCCTGAAATGTCTCAACATTTTTTATTCTTCCTGGGGTAAACATGAAATTAGGAGCTATAGATGCCTTTCGAGTGCTCTTTTCCCTGCTAGACTTTCTGTCAGCATTTTTGATTTTGAGCAATCCATTTAATCTCTTCTCCACATTGCTGCCCTTGGTGATGGCGATAGTAGAGATGAAGTTTTTCCTTGGGGGACAGGCCTGGCACACGATGCCTCTAGATTATAAGAGCCTCCAAGCAGCATGGAACCAAGGTCATGTAATCAGTGACCCATCTGTCATTGGGACTTAGCCTTCCAGAGCCTCAATTTGAGTCCAGCAGACCAATTATCTTTGTCCTTCTATCGTGTGCTGCCTTCTATGTGTCCAAAGACATTAAACCTAACCTCTTTGCCTGTTTCTTCTGTACTAACCCGACACACAAGACGGAATTCAGAACAAGCTGCTTCCCAAAGTGCTTTCTGCAGAGAGATGGAAAAGGAGCTCAACAAATGGGTTTCCAGTTCATATGTAGCCACTGCAGGCAGGTCAGATTCTCTCTTCAACCTAAATCATGAAGGCTACATCCCGCAGGGCACAGAAATGCCAGCCATGGAAATATGGTCTTTCTTGCCCATTTCTGCCTGCCACAAAGAGAATACTTCTGGCACACACCACCTTAGTCCTAGTCCCAGAAAGCTTGATCTCACTTCTTTTTACTGAAATTGTGATAAAATCCAGGTTTTACTCACAGCAGAATAACCTGCAGGGCTGGTTCCTTTAACTTTGGGGAAGGTATCTATACCAAATTTTTACACAATGAGCTTAGCATGAATGCCTAAATCACACTCATCATTATACAGCTAATTTTTAGTATAAACTTTTCATTCTTTTTTGCAGAATTTAGTTAAAATGCTAAGTTAGTGCTTCAATAATTCTCTTTGTTGAGTTCTGGGAGTTCCTCTTGTTTAATCTGTCAGGTTGGCCTGGATCTCTTATGTTTCTACCACCTCTTCTTGTCCCAAGATATTCTGCTCAAGAATGACTATTATTTGTGTTACTATTTTCAGATAATTCTCCATTTCTACAGCTGCAATTTATTCAAGATTATGCAATGTATACAAAATATTTATTCATTGTGTTTTTGCAGACATTGGTTTTCTTCATAAATATTGCCTATTCCCAGTCGGAAGAAATGCCTTTCTCTTTCATTTATTGTCCATTCACTTGCCTATAATTTTTGCCTTTCCAAATGTATCTACATTTTATACCTACCAAAAGTTTTCTTATGAGAAATGGATGCTTACACACACACACACACACACACACACACACACTTAAGAATATTAACAATTTAACAATATTATGCTTTCTTATAGTTTACATTATTTCAGGTTATGACAAAGATTTTGTGTTGAAGAGGGTAGATACTATGCAAAATTTCATAATGATGTGTAACCTGAAGTTCATAGTTGAGTTATCCCCTCCAGAGAAGATTAATTACTCAACAAATAACAAAGATGGCTTAGAATCTAGTTTTAATAGACAGGCTAAACTAAGGAGCCCAGTATCTTCTGTCTTGAAGCTGTGTCAATTTAGAGAGATTTTAATCTTAATCACAGTACCACTTATTAGCACATGATACTGGGTATGTTAATCATTATCAGTTTTCTTATCTATAAAATGGGGATGATAATATTATCTACCTCCACTAGCTTGTTGGAAGGACTGAATGAGGTTATTCATTTAGAGCCTTTAAGACATGGACTTACACACAATGAGAGTTCAATAAATACTGTAAAGTATAGTTGAATTAGAACATAAAATCTGGGTTCTTTCATCTGTTCACTTTGATGCTTTTGACTCTTTCTGATGTTGATTTCCAATTTTTTTAAAGCCTACATTTCTTAAAAATTCCCTTGAAAAAGTGCCTGCTTTTTAAATATGAGTTGAGAAGACATGGAAAAAGCACTGATCCCAGAAAGCCATGATGTTTGGAACCAGTCGCTATCTCCACTGATGTGGAGTGTTATAGAGTTAGTGGTTCAGTGGCTATCTTCAGAAAGTTGTGAAAATTTTGAAGGTAGCTCCCATAATGATCCATGGCCACTGGATCCTTACAATTTTTTCTCTTCTTGTATTGCAGAAGCCCTTCAGAAAGATCAAAGGATGAGAGGTGTGTTGTAGCCCTAGAGATCCAGGGTATGGTCAGGCTTGATGTGAACGTGGAGAATTGGTCTAACACTTATGGATTATGCTGAAGAGGACCTGCCAGTTCACGGACAGTTCTGGAATCCCACTGCACATTTTATCATCAGTTTTTAGCTCTCTGCTCAATGAGAGCAAATGAAACAGGAACATGCTGATGTGCATTAAAAGTCAGGAGATAAGAACTTGCATTTGCCACAAGGAAAGTGATAAAAATCAGTAATAGAGGAAACACATTTCATTTTTCAAATCTGTTAGCGGTGAGGGAAGATGAAAATATCTTTAAAATTACTTTGCATGCCCTTTTAAATGTAATCATCACAAGGCAGTATACCTAATAGGGGACCACATGTTGAGATAGAATACATAAGAGCAAAATGTAGCCTCTTACTAATGAAATAAATTTTGTCTTAAAAGTTCTTTGAATGTCCAAGTCATGGATACTGGTCTTGCATATTTCTCCCCAGTATTGACTGTCTGTTTGGTGAACCAAGAGTGGATTACAAACCAAAGGCCACCTCACATAGGACACCTTGGTTTCTTTCTTTTTTTTTTTTTTTTAAGATTTTATTTATTTATTTATTTGAGAGAGAGAATGAGAGACAGCACGAGAGGGAAGAGGGTCAGAGGGAGAAGCAGACCCCCCCTGCTGAGCAGGGAGCCCGATGCGGGACTCGATCCCGGGACTCCAGGATCATGACCTGAGCCGAAGGCAGTCGCTCAACCAACTGAGCCACCCAGGCGCCCAGGACACCTTGGTTTCTAAGAAGGCATAGGTTCTACCTTCTGAAATGATTCTCAAGGGAAAGGGAAAAGTTTCCTGCCCCTGAAACAAGACAGGTTATGTAATGCAGATGACTGTAGAAGAAAATAAGATGCAAGTGAGGAAGAGAAAATGCATTTCAACCTTGCCAGAGTTATTAATATTTGCAAGTAGAGAGCTACAGTTTACATTATTTTCTTTAGCATATACACAGCCACCTGGGATGAGGAGTAACAGCAAGTGTATGCCCAGAGATTAAGTGAAAAGCATCACCTTTAATGAAACCTTTTAAGTCTGCTTTAAAGCTCAATATTTCAGAGGCAGTACTATAGTCAAGGAGGAATTCAAACGTTGTTAATATGCATAAATATACATTGAAGACATTCATCAAAATTCCACTGAGAAACATAGCTTCTAAAATCAGTATTGCCGATACGGTCTCTCATAATTTATTCTCCAACATCTATGTGCATGCTTCAGCAAATTCTTCTAAACCAGGAAATAAAGCAGTTTTGTAAAAGTGAAAATGTTGTGCAAAGATATATTTCTCACTTTTAATGACCTCTTTTAAAGCAATTATATGATGTGGTATTTTTCATACTGGCATGCAAAAAAGAGTAAGGCTTATATATAAAAATGATCTTATTATGCCTTGTCACGAATAAATGGTTTTAACATGCACATAGAAGGATTCTTCTAAGTACTTCCCATTATGTTTTGAATGAAAATTTTACCTGTGAAATTTTTGGTCTCAAAGATAGAACACTCAGAAAAAACTAAGTAGGTCACTACTTCCTATTCTAAAGGCTTTTCTGCCAGTATTTCATTAGAAACATGTGAATGTCTGTGTGTGAGTGTTGTGCATAGATTAGAAGCACTTCTCAAAAACATCCATAATTGTGAAGATGATCTTGTAATTTTCATAAATTTTAGATACAAAATGTTAATATCTTGTCTGATACACTCCAAAATATCACCTTTGTATTTTTATCCAGTGTTGTATTGTTATATTTAACTGTGTTTTAAAAATGAGGCTCTTGAATGCTCTTTAAAAAGAACTATGACCCATTTAAGAATGAAGGCTTCTTGGATCAAAGATTAAACTATAAAACGCTAGGACACCTGAAAACAATAGTGTAGGTGTGCTGGCAATAGTCAGAAAGAAGATGGAGTCAAATACTCTTTGAAAGGTGAAGTGTTCTCTTAAAAATATAAAATTAAGGGCGCCTGGGTGGCTCAGTCGTTAAGCGTCTGCCTTCGGCTCAGGTCATGATCCCAGCGTCCTGGGATCGAGCCCTGCATCAGGCTCCCTGCTCAGCGGGGAGTCTGCTTCTCCCTCTCCCACTCCCCCTGCTTGTGTTCCCTCTCTCACTGTATCTCTCTCTGTCAAATAAATAAAAAAAATCTTAAAATATATATATATATCCCTTCATGGTGACAAAAAGTTACTATGGATTCAGGAAACATACAGGGAACAATATAGACTCAATCTCTGATAATGTGCATTAAGTAGAAACTTCACTAAAGAGAGAAAGGAGCAAGGTTTATCATGAAATGGGCAAGCTGAGTATCATTGCCTCTGGCCAAGAAGGACAAAGATCACCAGGTGTTTTAGTACTTGGTGAAGTTAGTTGCCTTGGAGCTAACTATGGATCTCTTCAAGAAAAATAAAAAAAATCGGAGGGTTTTGTCCTGTTCAAGCTCAAAAGGACTACAAGCTGTATCTAGTGGTTCTTATTTGCATTTCCTTCATGATTAATGATGTTGAGCATCTTTTCATGAGCTCATTAGTCATGTGTATGTCTTATCTAGAGAACTGCTGATTTAAATCATTTGCCCATTTTTATTGGGTTATTTGCCTTCTTATTGTTAAATTATGATAATTCTTTATATTTTTAGAAAAATAACAAATGTTGACAAGGATATGAAGAAATTAGAACCTTCCTACATTGCTGTTGGGAGGAAAAGCCATGCTGCCTCTATGCAAAGGACTTCGGCGATTCCTCAAAAAGTTAAACATTGAGTTATATGACTGAGCAATTCCTCTTAGGTACATATCCAAGAAGACTGAAAACACATGTTCACACAAGCACTTGTGCACTAAACATGTGTCTATAAAAACTTGTTCATAGCCGCATTATTGACAACAGCCAAAAAAAAAAAAAAAAAAAATGGAAATAATCCAAATGCCCCTTAAAGGATTAATGGATAAACAAAATATGTTATGTTCATACAATGGAGTATTATTCAAAATAAGAAAAAATGAAGTACTTATAGATAAACCTCAAAGCATTAAGTGAAAGAAACCAGACACAAAAGGTCACTTATTATGATTTCATCCATATGAAATTCCAGAATAGGCAAATACATAAAGTGGTTGTGAGCAAATGGGAGGAACTGGGAGTGGCTGCTAACAGGTAGGAGGTATTTTGCAGGATGGTGATGGAAATGTTCTGGAATTAGTTGATACTTGCACAATGTGATAAATACACTAAAAACCACAGAATTGCACACTTAATGGTGTATTTAATATGAATATATAAATATCTCAACAAAAAAGGCACTAGAGTGGAAAAGATGGCAGAGGAGTAGGGGACCCTATTCTAACTGGTCCCCAGAATTGAGCTGGATATCAACCAGACCACTCTGAACACCCACAAAATCAGTCTGAGATGTAAGATAGATCTGGATCTCTACCAACAGAATATTGCAGGTGGTTGGTTTCCAGGTACAAAGCAGGGAGCCGTGATTCCACCAACAAATATCAGAGGATAAATGGAAGGGGGAGGGAGCCATGGGGATCCTACACCACTGGTGAGAGGTAGCCTCCCGTGCTGGAGACAGGGTACAGACTTGCAGACTGGTAGCGGCAGGGAAAGGACTTTAGGGCAGCCCCCTGGACTGAAACCCTGAGTGGCAGGGCTGTGCGTGCAAACTGGTGGTGGCTGGTGGTTTTAGAAGCACAAAGAGCAGAGATGTGCCCTGACCTGGAGGTGAGAACTGGGAGCACTGCTGAGGGGCGCACAACCCAGGATGCTGCACAGACAGAAACGGAGATAGCGTGGCCTGGAGAGCTCACTGAAAAACAGACTGCAATCTCTCTGCTCTGAGGCAAAAGGTTGGAAACGATCTCTTC